GAATTTGATCTGTTATATACTTTACAACTTCCTCTCATTTCAAAAATATAACAATAATATTATCTTCTTCTATTGTGTGGCTCAACATCTTTAGAAAACTGTTCTTGTCTTAGATGAGAGCGATAGGTATGAATATGGAATCACTCTTGCTGTGAATACTATAGGAATTTGTGAACTAGATTGCACTTTATAATTGCAACAAAAATGTTATGTTTATGCTCATAATTTTAAAACTCAAAAGTCGACCAACTGTTAACTGTCAAATACACTTTTCAGAAAGTAGTAATAAAATTGGATTGATGCAATTGCAGCAGGAATATCGAATGGAATGGATGAGTAACATGCGTAAATCAAAGCCAAACAGACGGCTACTGAGACATACACTGTTGAACATAAAAGCGATTGACAATAGCAGATAATGAAGAGCAAGAAATCGCACTCTTCCGATACGACCCTCCAGACGGAATATGCAGCATACAACAAATACTACAAGAGGAAGTAAATTGCATTGCGAGTGAAGTCAAGGAAAATTAAAAGAAAGGATATCTACAATTGTGCAATTGCAATTGCAAACAAGAAAATAACAGCGTAAAATAGATTTGGGACAATCGAACAATAAAATTATTGCAAATAATTTAGACCAAAACGAGAATAAAAACTGAAACTGCAGAAAAGAAGTGCTTCCTCAGACACAACAATTGCAGTTGCAGTCGCAGGAAATAAAGAAAATTGGAACGTTAATGAAGATGAAGCTGCTCGGGCAAGAATACTCTTCTATTAAAGGATAACTTAATGTCCTTCAAATGTCTGTTGCTTATTTTTGTAGCAGCCCTGCCATAAATTCTGCAACAATTAAACAAAGTAAATTAAAATTTATGTGCGACAGTTTTTGCTCGACTTTAGGATTGCAACTCTACTTCGGCCTTTCATAATCGGATATAAGAAGAGACAGTAAAAAAAGGATATTCATGCTGCACTCAATATTTTTAATTACGAGGAGGGACTTTGCACTTGAAATTGTTAATTTGTGTAATTTAGTGTTGGTTGCGCCCAACTTTATTTAATTGCCAGTAGAAAACATGAATCGATTCGTAAGACATTTTAAAGAAGATCTCAGCATCAATCCTTTGTTTCGTTTGGTGAAAAAGTTTGTTCAATTGATAAAAAATATGTAGCAGAAACTTTCCATTGTTAAATAAAAGGCATTCATGTGGAAATATAAAAAAAATCATCCTATTTTTAAAATTACAGGAATTAGTCTAGCTTATATTATGATTTGCAGACTACGTGAGACTTTTATTTTAAACTTTATAAAAACATTTCATTCACGGCTATAAAATATATATCTTAGACAAATGGATGAAATTGCTGCAGTTGGCACGTATATCTAACACTAGTTGCTCTATCTAAGACGGATATAGGTCTTAGACACACATAAAGAAAAACCAACAAAAAGTACTTTAAAATATTATTAATATTTTTTTTTTCCTTATAAGAAAAATAACCGTAAGCGTAAAACAATGATATAGAAAAAATTATTACGGAATACTTGTTACGTCTCCGATATGATATAAATAATTTAAATATATCATAGAACTAAGTAATTCAATTTCATTAAATCAACAATAATAACCACATAAAACAATATTTTTGTTCTTAACTAGGAGTATAGTTTGTGCCACTATTCTACAGCTGAAAGTACCGTTTTTATAAATTAGGCATCTCTGAATAAATTGAATGCAGACACTGTTGTAAAGATGGAAAAATTATTCAATTGATAATAAATAACAAATATATACAAAAGTGGAGCAACTAGTCTGCCAAATATCAAGCTCTATCCCAAACCAGACAATTGTTGACTGAAAAGCGGGAACTAATACAAAAAGATTTTTGAAGAATTCTATTCGGGAACCGGATCCATTCTCTTAACAAAAAAAAATATATTTAAATATATATCATAAGAGGCACAGTGCACCTGTACTGATAATGTCTCTTAGACCTATTCATTATTGCAATCGAATTAAAATCAAAGTTGTAAACAATATTATTGCTCACGGAAATCTTTCTTTTGTAGAAACCAGAAATATTGTATGTACTACATGGTTCAGTTGGGTTTTGGTTAGCTAATAAAAAATTTTACAGTCCAAACATATAAAAAGTAGAGCAGTTACAATCGTCATTCTGTTTTTGGGAATAGTGTAATGTGGATCATATTTAATAAATATGTAGGCTTTTCAACTATTCTATTTTAAATTGTAAGAGACCCCATTTCACGTGAGGTACTCGTTTCAGTAAATTCATTTGATTCATTTGATCAAATTGGAGAAACTACACTCTGAAGTACATTTTTTTTATACATTGTTTAACAAATACAAACATATAAATCATACTCTGACATTCCAAAAATATCGTGTAATACTGTAACGAGGTCAAATGTAATATTAAGCAAATTCTTAATATTCTGATCTATAGATGATATATAATATAAAATATTTTTAATACCTATTTTATTGTAATAATATTTAATGATTATAATTACAACCTATAATATCAATGATAAGAAACCAATACCATTCTACGAAAAATCCTTATCCTGTGATTATTAATCACATTAATTAATTTTGTATTAAATTTTTAATACAAAAATTTAATTTTTAATCAAATGTCTTCTCAAGCTGCCTATACATTTGTTTAATACCTTCTGCTCAAAAAGTACGTGGATTTTGTAAATAAAACACACAAATTTAAATTTTATTCCAAATTTATTTTATCTACTTCAAAATATGCTCCTTCTGAAGCGATACACATATGCCAACGCTTAACCCAATCTTCCACACACTTTATGTAGGCCCGTGGAGGTATGGCTTTTAGTTCCTTCAGCGAATTCTCTTTTACCGATTCAATCGACTCAAAACGTTTACCACGAAGGGGTAATTTGAGTTTCGGGAACAGGAAAAAGTCGCACGGCGCCAGATCTGGCGAATATAGTGCCTGAGCGATGACAGTGGTGCCGTGTTTGGTCAATAAATAGCGCACAACAAGAATTTTCCATAGTAAAAATCGCTAAATGCACTTGAGGTAGTCTCACATTAACAGCTGCTGTAACCAAACTAATTGACAGATGGCGCTCAAATTTGTACCATATGTCAAGAAAGGGTGTACCAACGTAACATTTTTTGAAAAAGGTCTATTAGTTAGGAGTAGTTAACAAATAACAAAATCCGGATACTTTTTGAGCAGAAGGTATGCATCAAATATCTTTAAAAGTACATATTGGTTTATTTTCCCATATATAATTTTTTGACGGCAAGTGTAAGGATTTGAATCCTGCTAAACTTCAAACATGGACTTTTCGCATGGTAATGTACAAAGCTAACGTACACATAACGTTACCATTTTCTACCCACTTTCATAAATTTAAATATTCTACCTATAATTCCTCGCACATTAGAGAAATATTTAAAGGAGATTTATAGCCAATCAATAAATTTTAACTGGTTCAATTCAAATAAAGTAAAACTAATATTCATTGTATTACTATTTATTTAACAACAAAAAAAATAAATTAATCATTTCCATACGTAATATATAGAGAAGTACTGAAATGTATGCATGCGCACTTCACACATTTATTTTCATTATTCAACGCTTTTAAAAAAGGATAACGAGGTTGCACTACTCATGTGCAGGGAAAGGATATTCCAACAGTTCTCGAATGTATGGCGTAAAATCCACAAAAAACACATGCAAAAATTATGTGTGGCGGTTTAAATTAACAATAATGAAAATCTCTATTAAAAAACGGATGAGGAAAAGTGGTGCTTATGCCACAAAGAATACAGAAAACCCTATCCAAAAAGCATTATTCATTATTTAAAGCCAATGACAGACCGCGAATTTTTCATTGTTAATTTCGAGAAAGAAAAGAAAAATTGCTTTATTTTTTGGCAAAAGACACAAAAAACTAAAACTCTTTTAAAAAGTTTTTTTTCTATTTTCAATAGATTAAAATTTCACCATAAAAATAAATCACAAATGGGTTTTATATAGTTGTATGAGTGGAGTATAAGGAAAATTGTGAGTTTTTTGTTTTGGAAAGCAAATAAAAAAAATTTTTTAAACCCTTTTTTTATATATAAGATATTAAAAGTATTTTTTTATAGTACTTCTACAATCAAATTGTAGTTGGAACAAAAATTTTAATACAAGGATTTTCTGTTACTTTAGTTAGATTTTATATAATTAATATCATTTAATATTTTATTTTATATATTATTTATTCTATTTAATGTGCTATTTATTCTATTCTATTTATTTTAAAATATATATTAACCGTAAGTTTTAGTTTAAAATTGCACTATGGATATATGCTCTATTTTTATTTAATAGAAACAAAATTAATAGAAACTGTATTTGAAAACCGATTAAAAGATATTTCATAGTTTGAGGTACTTAAATAAATCATTTTTAAAATCATCGAGTTTATATGACCAAAACCTTTTTCAGAAACTTTTCGTGGATGCGATGTAATTTTGTACACCTTCCTTCATCACGATTTATACTTTCCTTTTACTAATTATACTAATACTAATTAAGACTTTACTATCTACTTGTCTACGTACTTTAACTAGATACTATAATAGAACTGTCATGACCATTTGGTTTGCATCAGTATTACTTGGTCCTTAAAGAGCATTAATCGCTATTAAAACTTATATAAAATATAATATTGTACAATACCTCTTAAAAAATGGAAAAAATTCAATTGGTATAGATAGTTTCTTCCGATTATAAGTCATTTGGGATTTCTTCGTTCTAAAAAAGTATAAACATACTTTTAGACAGCCAACGATTTATTGAAGTATATGTGCGACAATAATATATTCTCCAAGAAT